CGTGGTAATTTTTTCTTCTCTCTCTCTCTTTCTCTCTCCACCCCCTCCCTTTTTTCACCCTCACCTCCTCCTTCTTCTTTTTTTTGACCACGAAGCGTTAAAGAATCAAGGCCGCTGGTGGATATCTTGCTGGAATGAAAAGTCTCGTTGCCGAGAAAAAAAATAGGGTAAGGGGTAGAGGGGAAGGGGGTCGTGGACCAAGGAAGGAGAGGAAGAGGTGTGGACGAACAAGCAAACAATGATGTTCAGGTATAGTTGTTGTATACACCGCGTCGAAGCGAAATGTAAAAGGCATGCAATCGAAGCAACATCGAAGCAAACTACCAGTGAACTAGCATTGGATACCAGCTAGATAACAATCTTAACTCTACTCTATATAATATTGCTATGTATGTGTGTGAAAATTATCGATGATATATATAAATATATAGAAAGATGTATGCATATATGTATGTACATTGCAAGTGGACAACGCATGCATGTTGGCTCACAGTTTCATTTTATCCTGGCTGGATCTGTCCCTGTTGACGGCATCCTGTCTTATTTATTTATTTATTTTTTTTTTGTCTTTTTAACTTTTGTTTATTGCTTGGAAGGGGGGGTTAATCCAAAATTTTTTCTTTTCCGTCATTCTTTGATTTTTTTCTTTTTTTTTTTTTTTTTTTTTTTTTTTTTTTTGGGTTTCGAACGTCTCGTTACTTTTCCTCGATTCTTGGCAGCGTACAGAGGAGTGGAAATTAAAATTTAAATTCTTGTTTCGTTTTTTTCTAATTCGTTTTAAATTCTCTTCCTTCTTTTTTTTTTTTTTTTATAATATTCGTATTTTATCGACTTTGCTCGCTCGTTTATTTGATTTTATTATTCGGTTCTATTTTATTTTCCGTTCTTTCGCACCTTTCTTTCTTTTTTTTTTCTCTCTCGACGATTAATTTCTGGTTGCGAACACTTACCATTATCCACGAGAATGGTTTCTGAAAATTGAGCAACATGTCGCAAAAGGAGGATTCAAAAAGCCTCCAAAATCGCTGTATTTTTATCTTGTATTCTCTTATTTTGTTTCGCCTATTCTCTTAGCAGCGCGATCATTCGAACTTCGGTATTTGCATGTTCCTACGTGTGTCGACAGATTTGCAAATATGGCTTGGAATTATGTGTGGGAAACGCACACAGTGATTCGAAGAAACACTGTGGCAAAAAAAAAAAAGAAATTTGAAAAATAATCATCTCTTCATATACCTACGTCAAAATACTACAAACAATTAAAATTACACGTACATTGGATTCGTTTTATTTCGAGAAAAACCGTTTTAAAGAGATAACAATATCAAATTATTTTTTCTCAAGAAATTGTTCAACACAATTTGTTCGATTCGTTTATAACATATCCTACGTATATCGAATAAAAATCAAAATTAATTTATCGGATGTATTAAACAAATATATATTGATAACCAATAGTCAAGTGAAGAATGGTTATATTTTAATTTTTTTCTTTCGAAGGATAAAAAATTTTTTGCGTTTAAAAATTTGTAACAAAAAATACAATCTTCGTACAATTTATTCGAAAAACTCCAACACCTTCTCTCTCGTTTACGATCGATCGATGATAATCGATTTCCTCCCCCGCGATTTCTATCGCCGGAGCTCAGAGTCTCTATGCACCTACCTGTTATGTATACGTGTTTATGTGCACGTGTGTGAAAGGTAAACAGGGAGTACGATACAGTTCTTTGTTCCCGATACTTAATTATTCAACATCTTTTGATCGATCTGACGTTACGAAAGTGATATATCTTAATAAGAGTTCATTCAGTTTATTCACTTTCACTTTCATGAATACATTACACGCAAGTAGTACGAGTCAGCTAATAATCCGTCTCTATCGTAAGGCTCGTATTTTCACCGGAATGAAAGAGAATTCTCCTCGAATTCTTTCTCGATTCTCTTGTCCCTCGACAATTAAATTCATTCTTCTTATATCATGATAACATTTTTTTTTTTGTGAAATTTACCGTATTAATTATATTTGTGAAATTTATGAAATAATTCTTTATCTGTTATTTAAGTATATCGAGCATAATCGAGTGGTGATTAAATTTTCTTATGAATAATTCAACGTTAGTTACCCTCTTATGCGTCAGATTTATGTTACAGATTGTTCCCCTAAATGATTTGTAAATCGCTTGAAAAAAATATTATTTCGATTCCATCGAAGGCATCCAGATCTAAAGTAACGCATGATCGATAACTAATATAATCTCTGTGTTCCAAAGAATCCGATATTTTTAGTGAAAAAGAATATCTTAATCATTAATTATATTTATAATTAATTTTATAAGCCAATAGATTGGTTTAAAAATAGTAAAAAAAAAAAAAAAGAAAAATTATTTTAAAGTCATCATTGCTTCGATCGATCGTGATTGTTTGTTTGAAAGAATTGTATTAAACGATTTCAAGCGATAGTGAATATTGCAAATATTGCCTAACACACATCTCGAACACGATACATCCCTACATACTTCATATGATTTCTCCATCATAGATTGGAAGACATTTTTCGTAATCTCTTATTAAATAATGTTACATGTATATATATACATATTTGTGACAGAGAAAGTATAAAGAAATAATAAAAAGAAAGAATAAAATAAAATAAAAAAAAAAAAAAGAAGAAGAAAAGAGAAAAGATGAAACAAAGAAAATTAAGAGAAGATCGTCTCACTTGAAACGAACGAGTACATACCGTGTCGTCCTTTTAAACCATACGAAATGTTCCTGCATGGAAAAAGTGATTTTTTTTTTTTTCTATACATAATACACAAATCAAGCCTTTATTAGCGACGAGCTAAAGCAATTTTCCTTCGAATGAAATTCTTTCTTTCCATTTTTCCCTCCACCGAAGAAGAG